CCTGCCAGCACTATCTGCACATCCGACCGGCTCCCAGCGACAACTTGCCCTTGGTGGATCTAATCGAGCACCCGGACCCTATCTTTGACCCCAAGGAGAAGGATCTTAACGAGACCTTGCTAAGGAACCTCATGGGCGGACACTTCGACCCTAACTTTATGGCTATTTCCTTGCCCGAGGACCGGCTTTGTGGAGGATCTAGCCGAGCTGGACTTGCTGCTCAGGCAGAGACCCTCGGGAGCGATGCCCAGCGAAATCAAAGGGCTGGAGTTTTACGAGGGGCTGCAGCCGGGCAAGAAGCACAGGCTGAGCAAGAAGCTGCGCAGGAAGCTGCAGATGTGGCTCTGGTCCCAGACCTTCTGCCCGGTCCTATACACGTGGAACGATCTCGGCAGCCGCTTTTGGCCCCGGTACGTCAAAGTGGGCAGCTGCTACAGTAAAAGGTCTTGTTCAGTCCCAGAAGGCATGGTTTGCAAACCTGCCAAGTCCGTGCATTTAACGATCCTGAGGTGGAGGTGCCAGCGTCGGGGAGGGCAGAGGTGCACATGGATACCCATCCAGTACCCCATCATTGCGGAGTGCAAGTGCTCCTGCTAGGGCTTGCCCTTACCTTGTCTCCCCCCTTCTCCAGCGGACTCACGTGGACCTTTGCTGCAACAAAAATAAAAGACATTTGCTTTCTGGTTAACGTTGTAATGCACTGTAACGTGTAGGAGAATGTATATTGTGTGTATATATGGCACCGTTTTAATATACTATTAAAAGGTCAGTATTATACGTGAAATAATCAGCGTCTACTGTATTTTTAAGACTATTACCCTGATCGTTGCTAATGTATCTTTTTTTTTTTTTTTTTGGTATTTATATTCCGGAGAGAAGTTGCTTCGCTTTGGCGAAGTAGGGGTTTTTGTTGGGGGTTTTGTGTGTGTGTGTGTGTGTGTGTTTTGGGTTTTTTTTTATATAAAAGGATTAAAAAATACAAACCAAACTTTTTGATAAGAAAACGTTTTAAAGCTATTTTCCATTATTCGGAAAGCGTGTGTGTGTTTTTTTCCTTATGGACTTTAGATTTAAAATAAAATTGAATAAACGCCTAGAGCACAATGTTATTGTAAATAGAGAGAACAGTTTGAATGACTTAATCCTATGTAAATGAAGAGTATCTGCTATTTATTCTTTATATCCTTGTAGTAAAAGTGCAGTGCAGAATTAAAGTCAACCACTAAAACACGAGCCGTTGGGATTCTGTTTGCTTTTTGGTTTGGCCACCTTCGGGGGGGCTTTCTTCTCTCTCCTCCTCGTTCTCCACGCTCAGCAGGACGTTTTGTGGCGGCAGGGGGAGGTGGGAACCTGCTCACGACTCTGTTAGAAGGGAATCTTTGGCACCTACACCGCAGGAGCGCCCCGGGGACGCGGCCCCGCGTGTGGGGCCGGCGAGGAGCGGCTGCGCGGG